ATATCAAGCCCATTGCAAAAGAACCACTGAAAGCACGAATATGGGTGAAAAAAATCACCAAAACTCCTCCAGAATGCAGAGTGAGTAGGTCCATCAGGACCTGTGTCCATACCCGTATTGTCATGGATTTGATTCCCGAGCAACCTAGCTCAAAGGAAGGACCCAATTTACTAAACCATGCTGCGTGCCCGTCCATAAAGATGCACATGCAGCTTCAGGTGCACAATAATCCTGTCGCTGAGTGTTTCGTGGGGACACTGAGGGAAAGCATAGGATTCCAGCTGCCCATTTGAACTGGCAACATGTAAGATTGCTGACCTGCTTGGTCTTTTCATCCTTTAGACTCAAAACCTCCTTGCTGAGTATGTACGTTCGGTTCTGGGTCTCGCTCAGGATAGTCTGACGGTCTTGGTTGTGGTCCATGGCTTGTTCTGATGCAGAGAGAGCAGGAGAGCATGCACATGTTTCTAAATCAACAGATCAGCAAGTACCACTGGAAGAGATAGTGCTCAGAATGACATCTGGCTATCAGAAGCATCAGGAGAGTGGCCCACGTAGAGAGACCGCTCTCAGCTTATGGACACAAGGTGGGGTGAAACTGATGGGGTAATCAACACTCCAGCCACCGGAGAGCCATTCAACTCCACTGTGGGTAGGACAACGACAAAGGACATGCTGCATTAGCCATATGCAAACTTGGCTACTCAGAGGGAAACCAGAGCCCCAAGTTCTCCCACATTCACATGGCATAGTAATCTCTAATTCAATCCAAATATTTTTTTTCCTCTTGCTGGTAAAAGTGACACCTCCAACCTGACCAGCCCTCATTAAAGGACAAGAGGAAACAATGCAGAGTACTGTGTAAAAGCTCTTAAGAAAGAGAGAGGAGGAGGGATAGCTCTCTTCTGGAGCAGCAAGTGCCTTACGTCCCTCAAGTGCTGAAATGGGAAAGGAGTAACTGATGCTTTCCTGTGCAACAAGTAAAACTTACCCACAGCTTTCAGGATGTCACTAGGAACATTGTTCCCAGCCAGCTCCAGCCTCTTCAGGGTCTTGTTGCTGTGCAGGCAGTTCAGCAAAGCTCGGCCACCCAGAAGCCCAACATTATTCCAACGCAAATCTATACAGAAAGCAAATTTTCACGCTGGTAGACACATCTGCTGAAAAGCACAGGGCTCAAGAAAAACCGTGTTCCTTATACATCTACAAGCATGGCTAACTAATCCCAGATGGTCTCAGCACAAACAGAGGTGAATACTGTCTCCCTTTTCAAGATGAATGAGGATGGAAAATGACAGACAAAGCAGGAAAGGCAAGGATAAATCTTAAGTGCAGTAAAGTGCGGGAAGCTGTTACAGTTGAAAAGCTACACAAGCCTATGTTTTCTTTTCATGAGCCTTCCTTCCACAACCACAATCTGTGGATGAGAAAGAATCGGCATCAAGAGCCACGTTTTCCTGAAGGAAATTTTGGCAAAATTCCTCACTAAGGATAAAGCAAGTGTGAAGTAAGTCTCACAGTCTGGCATGAGGCATGCCAACAGCATCCACAAATGGGAATGAACCCATTCCCTCCTCCACTAAGAACCATTCTGCTCCAAGCACACAATCTTCACCTGCAGGTTTGGTTCCAGAGATGCCAGTTACAGTTCCCACTCTCCAAAGGCCATGGGGCTACAACCTCTACTCCCTGCACAAAGCCTGCAAAGCCCTCCAGACTGACTGGAGTTGGGAATGACGCTGACCAGCTGGCAGAGATCAGGGCAGCCTGCAACAAACCTGAAGATATATGTGTGCACGCATGCATATATGTAGGTGGACAAAGAACCAGTCACTCTTACCCAGCTCCTGAAGACTGGCATTTTGTTTCAGTGCCATGGCCAGCTCTCCAGCCCCTTGATGGTTGATCTGGTTATTGCGCAGATCTAGCCGCTGGAGAAAGTTGTTTGCTCCCAGTCCTTGGCAGAAAAAAGAGAAGCCCTCCTCCCACACGCCAAGGTTGTTCCATTCCAAGATTAGGCTAGGGAAAATCAGACAGGATTGGAGTTCATGGACTAAACGGACAGTTCCAAGAGCTTGAATGACACCTGGATCACAGTACCCATTCGAACACCCAGGTCCCCTAATAGGGACTCAATTTCAGAGAGCAAGATGCTGCTAGGGCCATGCATTCTCAGAAGGGGCACCCCCCAGTTCTCACTCCTTCACCTGTCCCATCCCTCACAAGAAATTGCACTGCTTGACATTCCTTCTACCCCAACAAAGCACACCCTCAACCCTTTTCTAATGTTGTGCTCCATCTGGCAGGAATAGCAGAGAGAGAGGTAGATACAGTTTTTTACCTCCTGATGGATTTGTTCTGCCTAAGAAGTTTTCCCAAAGCCTCAGCTCCCACGGTTCGCAGGTTATTTCCCTGAAACAAAAGTCCCAGGTGATCAGTAGGCTACTCCCTGTCCCATCAAACACCACCAGGTGCACCCCAGCTGTAATGTTGATTTCAGTCTGTCAAAGATGGTCTGAGTAACATTTGTTTCACACATCAGACAGCTTTCCAGAAAATGAAAGACCCCGGGAGGAACGGCAGACACATACACCGCTAGTCTTGTGAGCCATCATGACTGAGAGCTCACAAAAATCACAGGATAGCACAGGATCAGCACAGCCCATGATGGCATGGAAAATGCCAATTCCAGATAAGCAGAACCTTTTCAACATGCTTCATCACAAAGGGTCTGGATAGCACCAGCACAGATGAGAAAGAAAGGTGTGATGCAGTTTAAGACTGCAGATTCAAGGCAATAGCTACATGCCAGAGAAATACAGACAGAAAGTCACTCTCACAGCGGAGCAATCATCACATCTGAAAGTGAACGCTTAGTTCCAGGCCCCAGGCTAGCTGAAAGACACTGGCAAGCCAGATAAAACTCAACAGAAGTGCAAGTGAAACAACTAGTAACTCACTGATTAATAGAGAAACCCAAAGAAAAGCCTACATATGCCTCATCTGACCAAGCAGCAACTAACAAATGATATGCAGCAATAACTTCCTATCAAAACAGAGTAACTGAATAAAAATGGACAAAGATGAGCTGCAAAGTAACTTTGGACGGGCGTGACATGCTGTTAGGGAGGCAAGGACTGAGTCACTTGAGAACAAGAACTTTACAGAAGGGCACGTCTTGTAAAACAATCCTGCACTAGGACTATCTACTTCTAACTCTGATTAAGTTTGTGCTCTTATTTCCTTCTCCACCTCTTTGTCTTAGTTTCATTTGCAGAGACTCACCTTCAAATCTAAAGATTTGACTGTGGTGTTGGAACAAAGACCATGCACCAGAAGTTTTACGCCTAAGCAGAAAAAAAAAGACAGATAGTTGTTTATTTAATACATGTAACCCTCAGCCTGAGCTGGAAGATAAAGCGTCTTTTCAAACAGCCAGCTCGGAAGCTGTGGCTATGACAAAACATATGACTTAGCAAAGGGCCACTGCTGCTAGAAAGTGCGAGTCTGAACTTTCATGGCAGAAGACTTTTCATATATTCTCAGAGAAAAAGATGCCTGGGTAGAGACCTGCACGTCACCCTGTGTACCCTCCTAGCGCAGCTATGAAAATAGCCCACATCTAGACAGGTGGCACAGACAAGACGCTCGCTGGCTTACTTAACCCTGTCCCATGCAGCAGGGACCGAGCAGAGACTCACCCTACCTCCTATAGAATCCCTGTTCAGTGTCTGCTAGATTTAATGATCTAGCGATTAGATACAACAGATTATCGTCTGAACCCTCCTGCATCAGCAGCTGCCACCAGTC